CTGAATTTAAATAAGTCACCACTGATTTGGAACGAATATCACTGGCGAGTTTAAAAGGCAAAGGGTTTTTACAATAGAGTTCTACCCGGATCCAGCTCTGCAATGATGTTATTTATAGCGGAGCTCTCACGCGCGAAGCACCATGGGTAAGAAAATGTGATAATCTACCCATCACATGACCCTCTGGACCGAGCGACCAACAGTCCGTCCGCACCACAGGCATACCAATGTAAAATGACTCAATCAACAGGTATGGCAACCCAAATGCAACTCGAGGTTATTTGGGCGGGAAATCGCATAGCCACCCACGTCATGTAAAGCAGAGACAGCTAAGGAGTCAATAAAGACGAAAACGGAAAGCGGAAATTGTTTCTGTATCCGTGTTGTCTAAAGCATTAAGCTTAGATTAATTGTCATGTCCACAAATTTAGAATATAGAGCAAGAAAAAGACAGAAAAAAAGAGAAAGTAGGCTGCAGGCCAGTGAAGCTCAACGAGATAAAGGGCGACAGCGAGCTAGAGCGAGAGATAAAAAAAGAAAGGAGACATTTTTTTGTTGGAAGAACAACATGAAAATTTTGTAGCGGAGGTGACAAAATGAGAAATGCTAGCGGCCACCAATACAAGGTGAAAATGAGCGGCAGTGAAAAAAAAAGTGAATGAGAACACGTACGACTTTTTCCTCATAAAACGTGTAACTAACAAGTTTCTGGAAGTTTCACGTTGTAGTCGTGCAAAATAACGGCAAGGAAATGTACAAAAAAGGTGTGCTAAACGTGCAAAGTTGCTCTTTGGCCAATTAGACTAGCAGAGAAATTTCACAACTAATCAAGCAAGCTCTTCCCGAAATACACGAAGTTTTAACAGGTAAAGCTTTGTTTTTTTTATTTGAATTTATCGATAAAACCGGTGAAAAGTTTTTTGTTTACAAATGCAAATTAAGCGTAAGTCTTGCGTTACTTTATTTAGTTGAAAAAAGGAATTCACAACTCCTTTTGAAGAAATTTCCCCGCAAGAGCGAAACAGATGCCTTCAAGATTTTATTTGCGACGACCACGGCCGTTCGGTCATAGTGCGCGAAAATTGTAATCGTTGGCAACAGTAAATGAGTTTAAAAGTCATCATTTTTGCGCTCAATTATCTCCCTGTTTAGTAGTACTTAAACAATTATTCACCGCAGTGTCGGTGGCTGGTAGGAGAGATTTACCTCGCCGCTTCGCGGCCTCGGTAAGTATGCCACTAACCACATCCACTTCGGTTAATAACTGTTATTTATTTTATGTAAAGCTTCAATAATGCGGACTCTGCTGCAATATGCAGAGGTGACTGTACAGACTGAGCCGATGGTGTTTCCTGAATATGCATCCGCACATGAAACCTCAGTCGGTAAGAAAAGCTCCTTGAGTTACTCTTTCGGCTTCCCTTTCTGATTTAGTAAGTCTCCGTACAGGTTTACTGAACCCTTAGAATTTCGTTTGAAGATCATTATTTTCCTCGGAAGATATGAAGCAAACCCTCTTGCATTTTATTTGGTCTATATTTGAGTGAGTAGTATAGGGCGCACCGGTTACTCCGGTTTTTTGGGGGGGAATCTCATTAAGGTGGGGGGGAATAAATTAACGTCGCTGACGTCATAGGCTATTGTATTGATCTCATGAATAAAATGCGGTGGTTTCTCATTTAATTGCTGTGGAATAAATTAACGTCGCTGACGTCATAGGCTATTGTATTGATTTCATGAATAAAATGCGCAGGAATCTCATAAAGATAAGGTCATGTGCTATTTTTAGATGGATGATGTCATGGTTGGTATAACCGGTTTGACAGGATTTAGTTATTTTCGGAAGATGATGTCATACGTATTCCGGGGTACTATGATGTCATAGTTGTTTTGAATACTTCAATAGGAACAATAGGCTTGCCTAGACTTGCCCGGGCTCTTTTAACCCTGATTGGATAGTAAACAATCTATTATGTGTTTAACATAAAAGCGCGCTTTCCCTTTCATTTCATTTCATTCTCGCAATCGCTTTGCTAAGGAAAAAGTCTTACTATCACCAATATTTTTTAAAACATTGCTCCAAACATGCAAGTCGAATAGAGCTGTAAACTTGTCTGACTAATACAGAACTTTTTTCTCCCATCTATCTCGAGGACATGAAAAACTATTGAAGTCTCAACGTTTCAAGCACGGTTAATCAGGTAATTATGCGAGTTCACAAGCCCAAAGTTGAATACAACTAAGTGCAGCATTCGATACGGTGGACCATGAAGTTCTTCTCAATCGTTTACGATCCAGTTTTGGGATCAGGGGTACTGTACTGCNGCAGGAATCTCATAAAGATAAGGTCATGTGCTATTTTTAGATGGATGATGTCATGGTTGGTATAACCGGTTTGACAGGATTTAGTTATTTTCGGAAGATGATGTCATACGTATTCCGGGGTACTATGATGTCATAGTTGTTTTGAATACTTCAATAGGAACAATAGGCTTGCCTAGACTTGCCCGGGCTCTTTTAACCCTGATTGGATAGTAAACAATCTATTATGTGTTTAACATAAAAGCGCGCTTTCCCTTTCATTTCATTTCATTCTCGCAATCGCTTTGCTAAGGAAAAAGTCTTACTATCACCAATATTTTTTAAAACATTGCTCCAAACATGCAAGTCGAATAGAGCTGTAAACTTGTCTGACTAATACAGAACTTTTTTCTCCCATCTATCTCGAGGACATGAAAAACTATTGAAGTCTCAACGTTTCAAGCACGGTTAATCAGGTAATTATGCGAGTTCACAAGCCCAAAGTTGAATACAAATTAGCTCTACAGGAAAAACCTCAAGGGAGCATATTGACGTATTATTATAAAACAAATAACTTAAAAGGATCAATTAAAACACGCGACTCATAATTGCTAGCAATAAAACCACAAGAGAGATACCGTTTTGAAAACTTTATTAAAAGTCAATAACAAAAAGAGTCAAATACACAGGAATGGAAATTAATTAATCTTCATCTTCGTTCTCCTCTTTAGAAATCCATCTAGAAACGTATTCAGCGCACGAGGCTTGGTAACCTCCTTGTTATGAGGGAGCAACACATACTCAACTAGCTCGGCGATGTTTGTGACGGGAATAGTGCGTTTATTTCGAAGTAATTGTCCGCTGGGAGTCCAGAAAAGAATATCTTTGGACGCGGCCATACTATGCAGCAATTCAGAAGCACGCTTTTCCGACACTGCTCGGGAAAGATTACTCAAAACATCTTTTATTCTTGGTTCTTCTTTTATTCTTGGTTCTTCATCCTCGCTTTCATCACCAGAACTTTCGCTTTCTTCATGTTCACTCTCGTGTTCTTCTTCAACCAAATCTATCTTTCTCTTCATTTTGATGAGTACCCGTGACAGACCGTACCTTCAAATGAGTAACTTATAGTTTCGTTTCCTCTTTTATAGCATCAAAAATCCTAG